TTCACTAAAAGCAGTTCTGGTTTAAACATAAGGACAGACCTGGAAACACTAAAGCTAAACTAAAGTGTTTAAGTCCAAACTTAAACACATCCTATAATCTGTCGAAAGTTTGAAAACTGCTGTTCAGATATTCCCCCATCCAGAGAGCCAGAAGTAGTTGCAGAGTTCAGTTCTCCGAGTACCAATTCACAACACTGCTTTGCTTTACCCTATCACATAACAATACAGGGGTATAGGTTGCGTTGTGACAATTAGAAAAATACCTCAAGGGATATGAAAGCAATGCAGCATTGTGTAGATCATATGTTAATATTGCTATGTTTTTGTGTCATCTTGGACTACTGCAGTAAAAAAAAAAAAAAAAAAAAAAAAGGAAAAAGCATTACTGCACCTTATCTTTAACTTCTGCAATTGTCATGCCAGTGGAAACAATAAGGGTTACTGGAATATAGTCTTCTGACTCCGCATCCTGCACACCAACCATCAATCTATAAACAAGAAAGCAGAACACTCTATGAGATTAATGCAATTTTTTTATCAACTTAGTGTTATTCAAATATGTTTTTTTTTCTTTTTCCAATCAGATAAAACACAAGAGAAGGCATGACGTTAATATATACAAATTAAAGTCTAAGAACAAGCAATAAAGTGAGTGTCCTTTGCCTGATCTCCTGCATCCCCCACCTGAAGGAGTCCTGAGGGTAGACATGGCTCTTGATGTTGACTGACACTTCAACAGAGAGCTGGGAAAGTTTCTTGCACAGCTCAGCTGCTTCTTCAGAGTCTCCACTGCTGATGGCTTCACCCAAGGAGAGAGCCAGCGCCTCTGCTGCAGGATCAGGAACAGTTTAACACGTTACGTGACTTATTTATGTTTAAATGAGTTTCTGAAATATGGGTTTGTCCAAGTGTTCTCTGTGCGCATAGGTTTCACTTTCACAACCCTCCATCAACACAGACTAAAAAATAAAAATAAAAAAATGCTGAATATGTAAGGGCCGACTAAGCTGTAGAGATTAGTTTGTATACGACTGATCTGTCTTACTTGCGCAATCTGCAGTGAAAATAAGTGGCTAATCATAAACCGATACCAAACCGGGACCGCAACAACACAGAGAAGAAGATTTAAGAAGTCAAATATCAAGGTTTAAATAATCAAAGGAAAATCAAAACAAAACTTACCTTCTTTTATGTTCCCTTTGGGTGAAGTTTCAGAAGCCATTATTGTCCCCCAGACGTCAGGTAACGCATGAATGACGCACACTTCACAAGCCGAACGGTAACTTTTATGTAGTGTCCAACCTTTAGTGTTTGAGTTGTAGCTGTTAGCTCCGCGTCCAAAGTCTCCTCCGCTTATCCACTTTCAGGTCACAGAGGAAGCAAATATAAGGGGGCTTACATGAGTTACTTCCTGCCTGATTTTGCCTTTATGACGATCTTACTTCTAAGCGCCTGTCATCTGAACGGAAAGTGAAACTGGATCAAATTCAGGAAGAGAATATTTAAAGGGATCTGCCTTTTCTCCCACGACTCACTCTCTAAGCTCACTCTTTGGTTTGAGGTTTTATTATAAAAAAAAAGTAATGACAACAACAGAACTTTAAAACAATACAGACAATGAAACCAGTGTTATGTTATTTACATTAGATTTTTTTTTTTCAAAGAAAGTCAAAGCTATGACACCAAAAATCCAGCAGATGGCAGCATCCTTCTAAATTGGAAAGTACTGGACAACAACTGCTCAACTCATGTTTTATGATAAATGAAAGTAAAACAAAACAATAACAAAAATGAAAAAAACATAAAAAAGGATTGAGATGCAGCTAGGATCGCTAAAAAATAAAAAATGATAGAGATTAAATTATCGCATAAAAAGATACATTTTGAGTAAAAATGAGAACTAAAAATGCAAACAAACCAATTAAGCACAATCCTTTTGTTGGTATTTTGGGAAATACCAAAAAGTAGTGTTAAGGAAATCACAAACCTATATATACACAGTGCTGGAATTGTATATTGTTCAATGGAATGTTATTCACTTATTTTGTTTTCTTTTTTAATAAAAACAGACCAAACTTGATATATTTTACAAGGATTTTCCCTTTAATTACAACTGCAAGTGCACATCTTGAGAATGAAATGTTTCAACAATCCTCTGTAAAGTAGTTCAATCTCAGTCACATTTCTTAAGTCATTCAGATGCTTATCCCTCCTTATTTTAAACGTGTTTATGTGTATCAATGTCCTTGCGTGATTTTGTAATTTTATTTTAACTTAACTTCTTCAAAAGAAGAGAAAACCAGGAGGGTATTTGTTTTGTTTTTTGTCCTTTTTTTTTATTATTATTTTTTTATTTTTTTTACTGAAGGTATCGAATCCAGATGCACGGCGCACTTAAACTGGCCAATCACCGCGGCTCCAGCAGGAGGGGCTGGCGACTCATTTCACCGGCTCATCTCAAAGTTGCAGAGCATCCTTTAATCCCCGCCTGCCTCTCTGTCTGACTCCTCTCTTACCTGCCCGTTCTGCCGCCGCTGCATCTCCTCCCCTTCTCTCCAGCCTGCGAGACTTTTTTACTGAAGCCTTCACCCCGATAAAGAAGTGCGGCTCGAAGCGTTTGGAAAGATGTTAGCTTGCGCCGAGATGATCACTATGTGCCTGCAGTCGGCCAAACAGAAGCATCTTCGGGCTCAGCAGCAACAGCAGCCGCTGCACAGCTCCGGACAGGGGCTTACTATCTTTCACGATGTAAGTGGAGATTTACTCGAACACAGCAAAAAGTCAAATTTTTTGCACTATGTTTCATGTTTTTTTTTTAATTTATAGTAGACCAATATCTGTTAAGGTTCAATAACAGATGTTATATATATATATATATATATATATATATATATATATATATATATATATATATATATATATATATATATATATATGTAAATAGAAACAGGAGGGTCTTGTGTGTGTGCTTGCGCGTGCTCGCGTGTGTGTTATTTTAAATAGGAACGAAGAAAGAGCTGCAGCTGCTGCCTCTGCATGATAAATTAAGCTCTCAGTTGGACAGTTTTAGGGGCTGCTGGAGGTTCTCCCCTTTTGACACACTGTCACACTTGTGCTTTCTGCAAAGGCTTTACCCAAATTACCTCAAAATGAAGTTGCTTTAAGTTTCATAAAATTCTTTTGGGAAGAAGTTTTCTGACCAAATTATTATTTTTTCCCCTGGAGGATGTTCTTATGTCCAATGCTATACAATCATCGCCTGAAGAGCTTAGACCTGTTTCTGCTCTTCCCAGGAGCCCTCAGCTAAAGCCATGCACAGACATGCTCATAGACAGTCCTGCTTCAAATGCTGCTTAAACAAATGTCACCTGCTGCCAGATTAACCTGCAATGCTGCCATAGAAACCGTCCATCTTGTTAAAGGCTTTCGGACCAGGGATGTTTCCAGATTTGAACTCTTACTATAGCTGACAGCTTTGAGTCCAGTCTATCATTATGACATTACCCATGGCAGCTTTTGGACAGTCATCTCTGTAAATTGGAAGCCATCAGCTTCTTTTAGTGCTGTGTAATTTCATTATTTCTGGAGGTTGAGTCTTCTGGATGTGTCGCTGATAAAACATTGTGCTTGAAGTGTTTGACAACAACTTGTGAAGGATATAATCCAAAACAAACAAAAAAATATCTTAATTCTCCACTGAAAATTAGATTTAATAGCAAAATATACAAACTAGCAAATAAAGTTAGAGCTATTACATTGGTCTACATACCTCTGATTAAAAGATTTCTTGTAATCCAGCACAAAGTGCCACTTTTAATGACTGCTGCAGTTTGAACTTTATTAATCCCTTTCCAAACAAGCACCCTTCTGCTACTTGCTACAAATGCATTACCAAACCTAAGCTTCTGGCAGCATTGGTGGAAAATCTTATCAAATCTTCATGGGCATAGGTCTCTGGGTTATTATTTTTTCCCAGATTGATTTGTATGCTGCTGCTCAATTCATCAGGCCTTACTGGTGGACAGTAAGGAATACCTTTGATCACTGCCCTGTTGCAAGGGTCAATGTTGTTCATGCTTCAGCTCCATCACAGACAGCATGGCATTTTCTTGTTGGGTTTTCTGATACTTCATTCAATTCATCTTGCCCTCGACACACCATAGATTTCTAGTGCCAGGAAAAGCAAAACAGCACCAGAACATTACTGTGCTGCTGCCACACAATATACTTTCCACTATCAAAAAAGTTAGAATTTTGATCCATCACTTCACAGAGCACAATCTCAAAAATACTTGTTTTATTCTGACAAACTTGGACCTGGTTTTTATTTTATTTATTTATTTTTTTTTTTGAGTGGAAGTGGCGTTATACTGGGAATTATGAAATGGAACCCTTCATTGTTTACTAAGAGCCTTATTGTGGAAGCTGAAACCTCAGTAGCTGCCGCCACCAAGTCCTGCTGCAGGCCTGTTGCAGTCAGTCAGAGGGTTGTGACCACTTGCTTTCTAAGGAATCTGGTAGCTGGCATCAAAACTTCTTTTTCCTCCACATCCATGTGATGTAACCACTGATCCTTTAATTTGCAACCTATGCTTTCAACCCTTTAGAACATGCGAGGTTCTTACTATCTTTAGGATTCCAATGCTCTCTGACCCTTCTGGAGAATTAGCTTGACTTTGTGAGGCTATTTCACTGTTCTTTAGTGAGTTATTGCAAAAAAACAAACAAACAAAAAAACAAAAAACAAAAAAAAAAAAACTGCTGTAATTGTCTTGGTTTTGATCTTAATACTTCCCTGTTCCTAGCTTAGCCCATCTTATTTGTTCTAGGGTTTGATGCATTAATTTCTAATGGTGCGCTATTTTGAGACAAGAAACAATTTCTCTAGAGTGGAAATATTTTTGCCTGTTGGGTATCCAGTTATTTTAAATTAACCGCAGTAAGATTTTGATTTGAGAGAGAGTTTTTGCTTTGAAAGCATATTGTGCAGTCTCTTGCTGTTGTACCTATCAAACCACTCAGTGTGAGACAGACTCTCCCCTGACTGTGAGATATGCTGAGGGTATAATTCATTTTATGCTTCGAGTAAAAGAAGCAAAAAAGTCTCTGGGGATGAATTATTGTGATATGTTTGGAGTTATTGTGAGGGTGGTACATACTTTTTTTGTTTTTTGTTTGCTACTGGGAATGATTGAACTGCAAAATATACTGATGTAAATGAAGGGAAAAAAAAAAACAAAAAAACATGTTTTCCCCAGAAAGCATTTTGATTGCGAGGATGATTGACTCTGTATTACACAAGTATTTATTGCCCCAAATTAAAATGTGATAAGAGCATCTGCAATAGGTCCATGGTGAGTCCTAATTACAGGATAATGAGCAATTACTAATGTCAAGGATGCGAGAATTATAGCATCTCAGAGATCATGCTTTGCTTCAAAAATGACGTATTTGAAGGCCAGAAACAATAAATGATGCTGGTGTGCGTAGGCTGTTTAGTCATTCTTAATGATTCTCTGCATCAAGAGGTTTGTTTCAGAGGTTTGCTGCAGATTGCCATCTCTTTTTTTCCCCTCACTTGTCCTTCACATCCCTTTTCCTACCCCCTTCTGATGTTAATCTCTCCTGCTGTGCTGGAGAAACAGTAAAACTATTACAGTTGACGATTTCTTATGGTAGTTTAGGAGCATACCAGTCACAGAGTCCTCGTTACAATCACCTTTTGCTCAGAACTGTTTATTTTTCATAAGCCACTGCACAGACAGAAGGCCCTGTGAGAAGCTGCTGTCTTAATTCCTGCCACCATGGCATCAAACCAACAGCGCGCTGGGAAGCAGGTCTGACCTTTTCCTGGGATTGCTGTAAATGATGCATTATCTACTCCTGACACTGGAAAAGCCCAAAGACACAGGCCACAACAAACAAGTTTAAAGGGTCCTGTTCTGCACTTAATTGAGCAGGAGGAAGGAACACTTTGATGGTAAAATGAAAAAAAAAGAAAGACACAATAAGAAGAGAAAAAAAAAAGATTCACAAAACAGAACTGGATGCCCAAAGGAAAAGCACTTAAAGTTATGTAATAACTGAAGAGGGATCACGTTATTATGCCACTGTGTTGTTTAAACAATAACTTTGATTAAATAAAAGAGAACTGCTTTGAAGGTACCTTTATGTCTAGACAGATAAGTAGGAAATAGTGAGATTGGTGTATTGGGAAGAGGTTGGAAATGACCAGAATCTTGTTATAAGTCAGGAATTGACATATGAAGGGCAGAAGTGCAGAGTTTGAGCTTGTTGACCTATGGAGAGTGAAAGTGAAGTGCAGGTTTGGCAGTTATTAATAACTTACAGGTTATGCCTGGCATGCTTGTCAGGCATGACCTCTGGCTATCAATGGAAATAAATAGCTCAGAGAAAGAGGAGCATAATCAATAGCTGAGAAAATATCAAATGCACTTTGGTCTGTATAGTCAGAATGTATGGAGCAAGACCTCTTCTAAATGAACTGGTCTGATGGTGTAAGGTCTTTCAAAGCATTGTCTCATTTATTTATGACCTTCAATCTTGACTGAAGTGCAATCTCATTTGCAGTGATGTAAAATGGTAAGATTTTAGAGCAACATACCTTCTTTTTTATTTTTTGTGTGATGATCTTCAATTTAATGACAAGAATGAATTTATCTCTATATTTTAAATGTTTTTGTTTCTTCTTGAATATTTTACCTCGTAGTACCTGTTGCGCTGTGGTACCTTGCTATCAATTCCGTTTTCTGCCCCACAAAGACAGTATCAAACTCACTGGAAAACAAAATCAAAACTGATTTATGCAGATCTGGGTAGATCTGTAAAAGGAAGCACAGGTGATACTGCTTCACTCACTGGAGACCTGGATACCAACTGACTGATTTGGAAATTGGATGCACACAAGCTGAAAAAAATTCAGGAAATTGAGAGAAAAGTCACATGGAGCCTTTGGCTGAAGGAACAAAAAATGGGTAGGAAGGGAAAACTAAGCAACACATGACTGAAATTGACTAAATTCAGCATGGGCAGCATCAGTTGTTCCCCAGGCTTTTCTTCAAGCAGCTGACTAACACCTTTTACAAGATCAAGAGTGAGGCATATTGTTGCACTTCTTTTGGGAGTCAATAAATGCCTTTCCCAGAGTTGGTGACTCATCTGTTCTGGAGCTGTTTGGCTGATTTGTGCTGATATGTGTCAAGCAAGTTTATTATCTTCAATCTTTAAAAAGCCACGCTTATTCAGATGATGCAATGGGTAGAGGTGTTTAAAGAAGAGGATATTACACATTTCGTGGGACAATGCATTTGTTTATGTATTTATAGTGTATATTCAGTATCCTGTCTAGAGTCAGCATTTTATTGTAGTCCTCATTTGGATCCTGTTTTTGCCTTTAGAACTTCCTTATTTATTTGACATAAATTCAACAAGGTGTCTGAAACATTCATCAGACAGTTGAGTCCATATGGACATAACAGCAACAAAAAAGACTTTTAAAGATATGGACTTTAAAAAAAAAGTAATACATTGTCTTATTTTTTTTTTTCTTATTTATTCTGGCCATACAAAACAAGACAATGTGGTTGACAGAGTAATTATTTCTTTTGGCATGTGCTTCTTCAAACTGAGCTGGCCTTGGTATTCTATGAATTCCCCTCTGATCCCCAGCACAGGCTTTACGCCAAAGGTAACTGCAGAAGTCAGCAGACAAGAGAGGTGAAAATTCTGCTCCAAAACATAATTTCGCAACCATGCTACTATTTGCCATTTAGAAGTCAACTAGAAAAAATCCCAACGCTAAAATCCTAGGAGTTGGGGCTCTGCATTATTAGCGTTGCCAAATTGGACAAGCTTTGGCCAATAAGTCAAGCTTTTCTGCTGGAACTGGAACAAAAACAACAGTCCAGAGAAATAGCATAGTCATGCTGGAACTGTAGCTCTGCTTAACTATGCATAGAGGCAATAATCGCTGCCAATCTCTGACCAGCAAAAGAGTGGTTACGTTGGCAGTCTCTTTGTAGCAAAACATATCTTGAAAGACTGTCTAAGTGTATGCAAATATCACTCAGTTCTGCCTTAATGCTTTACTCTAAGTATAAAGCCAGGCATAAATTGACCTTGAAAGCAAAAACACAGAGCCATTCAAAAAAAGGTTTCTATGTGCATGTTCTATGTTTTTTTTTTTAAGATGACAGATCTATTTAAGCGACACTCATTCTACTCTTTAAAAAGCCCTTTTTTCTGTTACAAAAAAAGCAAGCACTCAGCTGAAGCATTGCACACGCTGCTGCTAATTATAAGCATTGCACCACTGAGTCCCCCAATGGGAAGAGAGTGAAGAGAAACTAAGGCATCTGGAATACAATTACTTAGAATTGTCCATACCCTGTGCAAGACTGTTTTATTTACAAGGTTACTTCTTAATTAAAAAAATCCCACAAATTAGCATATCATAGGGTTATTAACATTAAGATATTAAATTAAGAAGAACTGAAGCAAACTGACAATCTCCCAGATCATATATGTAGGTCCCTTTCGGATGGTTTTGTGGAACATGCAAAATAAATTTTGATACTGAACTGTAAGTAGTTCAAGTAAAAATTGAAATATTGTAGAAATCGTCCGTTTGTGAATGTGATCTGGATTTTCACAAACAATTTCAGTTTAATTCACTCTTTACATTGATGATCAATATGAAAGAAATAAAACAGAGACTGTGTTGGCTGCAATAGCTTCCCAGTTGCCAGTGAAATATAAGCTGTTTAAGATTTTGTAGCCATAATAAGTCAAGGAGACCTTTAGAAATAAATGATAAAGCTACAAAGGGTAAAGTGGTGCTAGGTCATTACATAATTTTAAGTTAATATATGAAGAGATTATATTGTTGCTTTCAAAACAATAAAAAAACGTTGTTTTGTTTTGCTTTACACTAACAATTAATTATTGAATTTAGGGTGAATTTCTGTGGAACTATTAAAGTTGTACCCCTTCAGTATATAACTGGATGCTTTCAGTTTAAGAATGCACTGACCTTGTAAAACAAAGAATTCAGAAAAAAATAACTTGGGAAAAAAATGAATCTGGAAAAGAATAAAACAAATTTCAGAGTCTTATATAGGAATGATACTAGCCTTTTTTCACTGCTCTTTTGCAGTTTCACAAATTTTATTTTAATTGTTTACCTTCAGTTTAATTTAATTTAATAAATTAAAAAGGGGTGCTTTTACTTGAGTGTTGTTATTTTAACATACATTTTTTTTATATCAGCTTAAGTGTCTGAGACAATGTTGAACATATTGCATTTTATTTGTATAGTTTGTCAACATTTCACAGATTGATACTAATCTTTTTATGGCCTAAAATAATTGTTGCATGCTTTTTTTAAGAGCTTTGATTCAATTTGGAGGACTCATAATAAAACATGATCACAATTTTACAGTAAAAATAAGAAGGATAATCTGATATTTTTTGTCAAAACACAATTTGTCTATTAATTAACATTTGAGTCAGGCAGTAGCGCAGTGCCACTCAATTTTAGTCCACAGACAGAAAAGCGGCTGACTGCTCCAACACTTCCTCTAGACCTTTTTCAAAGCTGACAATTTGGTGTTCCACATCAGAAAAAACACATTTGTGTAATTGATAAAACCAATGATGCTGCTGTTGAATTTATTTGAAACACTTGAGGAAACAGTGTGCGCGGTCTCATGGTTCCGGAACTGACATTCAGCCTGTGTTCTTCCAATATACAAGTGGTTTTGTAACCACGTGGCGTTTTCTCTAAGAAACAGCAAGCTTACTTACAGTGTCTAAAGCATACACTGTATGTATAGAATAACAACATGTCCAATTATCAAATTCCCCTGGCTAAAGCTACTCTTTTATATTAAAATGCATGCCTGCAGTAGTATGTGAGGACAGAAGCCTGTGTCTCTGACAGGCTAGTCTGCAGTAAGGAGAACCTGCAGGGATGTGTGCTGGCACCGTTCCTGTTCCCCCTCTACAGTGCAGACTTCTCCCTGAACTCCCCAGGCTACCATTTGCAAAAGTTCTGTGATAACTTTGCCATAGATAACTTCATCATCGGTGAGGAGAACTTAGAGTACGACCAGTGGACACAGCACTTGTGGACCGGTGCCACTTAAGGGAAAACTAAGGAGCTTGTGATAGATTTCTGCAGGCACAGACTGCCTGTCAACACACTGACAGGTGAACATCTGTAAAACTGATATTGTAATAATAGTTTCTTATAAAAAGTCTCAACACTGATGCTCTTTGCAGAAAGGGTGCATAGGGTGCACCCAAAGGTTTTTTTTTTTTGACTTTTTGTTTGCACCAGCCTTCTTATATGGTGTATTGCAGTGGGGTAGCAGCTTATCTACATTTGAGAGGATGTTGGTAGATGAGCTCACATAAAGACTAGCTCTCTGTGCTAGGTTGCCTCTTTGGCTTAGTTCAGGTGGTGGGACTCATAAGAAGATTGCTGTTGAAAAATACTTGAAGCTGTTCCAGAAATGAGAACTGTGTCAGTGACAAACGGCTGCATCCAGGTGCACAAAGGAGCATTCTCACAGATCCTTCTTCCCAGCAGCTGTTACAGTCAATTACTATAATTTCTCCCAATTAACTCAAATTTAATGTTTTTTTTAATGTCCCTACTGTTATTTCAACAGTTTTCCCAGGTGGTTATGTACTCCAGCATATTCTGGGAGGTTGAATATGAGCAGTTTAATACGGATGAGGCACCAGCAGGACAAAAGCAAATGGCCCCTTTGCCGCATTGTGGCCTTGTGCTGCCCCTGAAATGACTGTTTACTCCAGAAGCGATGATTGTTTGTCCCATTTTGAAGATTCTCCGTTTCAGCTGCCATTGCCATTAAATATGACTCACTCACTCTCACACACTCACATGCACAGTCATTATAAAAGCTTATGTAAATGTTCCTGTTTTGGTTATCCTTCTAATGAATGCATAAATGATTTAGATATTTAAATGGCAATTATTTAGTCGATATCAAACATTGGATTACATTTTCCCAGATTATTTATAACCGTTTAGTGGACAAATTCCTCATAGGGCCTTGACTAAAACTAATGGCTTTATCCTTTCTGCTTTTTCAGATTTTCCGCAGAGCTGACAAAAATGGTGAGTAAATATGTTTAGTGAGGATTTGAATTGCCTCAATTGTTTGTTTTTTTTGTTTTTGTTTTTTTTGAGATGTTTAATTTGTGATAAAGCCTCAGTGATAAATTGGAGCAAAACAAGCAGTTTGCATGAATGACACACAGCAACTTATTTTTCATTCATCTCATGCTTCAATTAGCTATCTAATCCAATTAAAATTTAGCTAAGGCTGTGGATTTAAGCCTAGGAAAAGATTGAAAAATTGTCTCATAAAATAAAATGCTTTCATATGTATTGACAGAATATTAATCCATTAATCTAATCTATACTTTTGCTGCAGAAAGTAGAGGGTATATTTAGCATTTCATTTTCAGATTCTTCATGCTAAATCCAGTGGCGTAATCTCACTATGCACGCACACACACACAACTTACTTCAAGCCTTGCCTCCAGTCTCCCACTGCTGTGACTACAGCCTAAAAAACTCCTAATCTTATGTCCAGCCAGCCCAAAACTGTAAGCTGTCTCCATCTAGCCACCCGCTTGAACATTTTCTGGAGGCGTCTCTGGCAAAATCTGGTGCTACTTAATGTCAAATCCCATGCGGAGATCAAAATAAATATTAAACATCGTAAAAGCTTTTACACAACCAAAGATCCTTCAGTAAACTTTTAAGACAACACTTTCTGCACAGCTAACGGACCTGACATTTTACTTTTTTGCAATCACATCAAAGTGTACAGAAGTTTCCTGTAGCAACCATTTTGTCTCAGTAAACCCTGGAAATGATTTCACTGCTCTACATCTTAAGTCTGTGAGTTTTCTTGAAATAACATTACTTTTTTTATTTTTTGTTATATCATTCTCTCACACTTTTCAATTGTTTTCCATGAAGTTGCATTTACTGAACACAACAGATCACAGTAAATTGAATTAACTTTTGTCTGTTATTGGGTCATACTCTTTATATATTTTTTTATTGCTTTGATGTGTGATGCATGAGATATCAAATCAGACTGTGACTAAATCAGGAGAAATTATGTCATCATTTTTATCTTAGCATTCAGTTTAAATAGGTAGGCTAATCTCTTGCTGCAGTAAGAGCCATTCTGTTTCCCATGCTTTTGTTGTGCAATATTGGCTCACCCAGAAAGATATTTATTCATCTCTAATAACTGATGAAATAGGGTGCCAAAGCAAATCAAGGGGAGGGAAGTGTAGCCGTCATCACGGGACATTGTTTTGTTCGCACTCCAAAGAGTCTGTAATCATTGTGCCTCTAAACAACAATTGCTTCTCGATAGCATTAACAATGCTTAAGAAAGACATTCTGAATGATGCATTGCTCTGATTCTTTCAACCAAATGCATTCACTGTTAGATTTTTTATTATAATGAACTCAGCAGAGATAAGTCATCACTAAACCAGCTGCACAAGAAGGAAAGGGAAGGAGAACCATAAATGCTAAAAGCAAAACACACAAAAAATGTACCGTCCCACATTCAGTGGTCTATATTCCTCAGTATTAAATACAACTGGGAATAGACTAAAAATATAATGTAAAAGAAAATGATTGGCTTTGTTTTCCCTCAGAACTGTGATCCAATTAACTATCTGTGAGATTGACAGATTTGATTGTTTGTGGATCTTTTTAATAGCGAAGAAACTGCATGCATAACTTTTGTGAGCCCATAAGAAGAAGATTTTGATGTTACAATAATTTTGCAAAAAAAAAAAAAAAAGAGATAAAATAAAAATCCTCCTCTTTAAGTAATAGAATGGTCTTAACTTTCTATATTACACTTCTTGTATTTATCAGTTCATGCATAATATATATTTTAACACTTTTGTTCAGAATTATGAGAGGTAACTATGTTTGCAGAGGGGCAGCTGTTGAGAGCATGCAGCTCAGTAAACAGCATCTGTCACAGCTTTTTCATTCAACATACTCACTCGTTAATGCAAGTGATTTATTTGCATACCAGTTCAGTAATTGATTTAACTTTAGTACTAATATGACATCTGTTATTGTTTGTAAATTAACTACTTTAAAGGATTCTCAGTACAAGAATCTCATATAGATTCCTGACCGGAGAATCAGCTTTCATCAGTCAATGTTCAGCCCAAAATCTTTAAACGGTCAAGGATCAGTAAACTGATATTGTTTTAACCTAACAGATTCAAGGTTTTCTGCATCATTGCTTTCTCAAGCAGGTAGTAGGGCTCAACAAACAGATATATATGACAGCTGAAATTTCTTCTCATCTCATATTTTCCCTGATCTGAAGAGAAAAATGCCAGTCAGCTTCAGACCACAAGTACAAAAGATTGCTGAAAACAGAATGTAAAAGTAGCACACGGCTGTAAGTGAGGCTTCGGAAAGTAAAAAAAAAAAAATAAAAAATTACCTCAGATTTTCTCACAGATGGGCTTGTGAAACATCCCAAGTAGGACATTGATGCTAAGAATACCAGTAATAGCTTGAGTATGCAGAGATCCATAGAAGCTTACCATAAAGAAACCAAAGCCATCTCTCTTAGCAATGCCGGTTGCTACTGAAGCGTTGGTGGGGAATTTATAAACCACTTAGGAGAGCCTGCATTGGGACTAACCTTTGAAGGGATACCAGCATGGCCTACTTTGTGCCCTACTTTGCAGGACATCACAACTTTCTTATTTTGTTTCTTGTTTACTCTAAAGGTTTTGAGATATTTCTTTAAAGTAAGCCAACTTTTTTTTAACTTCAGGAGCGCAGATGCCACACAGGGGCTCTGCTTAAGAACCGACAGAGCATTAGAAGATTTCTGCTTTGGATTATTCCTAGGCTGTTTGCTTCATATAGATTTTGCACAGCTGTGATGCACAGTGAAAACTCCCATTCATGGTCAGAGCATCTATGACTGTTTTAAAAAAGACTGCTGTACCATTTTTTTAAACTTTAAAGTTACTATGACTTGTGATATTTAGTTCTATGGCTGAATTTTTAAAAAATTCCTTAACCAATCTTCTTCATCCTAACTCAAATTGAGAATGTTTACTTCTTAGCAAGTATTGTGTTGTGGATACATAAACAAATATCACATTCAGTGGAGGGTGATAATGCCACAAAAGTCATGTTAAGGTCTGCCTGTGAGTGTTTTTGGACCTGGTGAGCTCATGTGTCAATGGGTCACACATGAATGATTTATTCATTTCAAGGCATCAGCTGGCATTTGAAATGTGAATCTGTTCCCTATCCGAATCTGCTTTAAACAGATTCAACTTGATGGAAGCAAAGGACATTTTAGTGAACGTACCTTTTTCACTATTTAAAAAGAAATTTAGTTCTGCTCTTTGGGGCTGTTATAGTAGAAATACAGAATTTCTTCTGGATGTGACAATTGAATTCTTCCTCAAGTACAAACATTATTTGATTTGACTGAAAATTCAGGGTATTATGTAACTTTACACATTCCAAATTTGTGCCAGGAGATCAAACTCAGCAACAATTCTAAAATGAAAGTCTTTATTTATATACTGTAATCTGTGATTTTATGCTACTTTTGGCCCCTCCTTTTGAATGTCATTATATGGCCAGTTTCATTGTGGATGGTGATACTCTTCAGTTGTCATCCTCAAGCATATTAAAAGCATAATTTTTCCTCAAGTCAATATGGACATTTCTCACCAGAACACATTCACAATCCACTTTTTATTCCAGTTTAATTGCTGCACCCCTGCAGAGGGCTTGTACCAAATCATAGACCTATTAAAAACAGACTAATTCTGAAGACTGATGCTTTTGCATATTTTTCTTACTGGAAACCTCCCCCTTTTGACATATGAAGACATATATCCTAGAACTGTCAAGGCTTCCTCTGAGTGTCACTTTTGAGAATCCTGCTGTCTGTCTATCTTGGCACTCCAAATATAGGAATCTTTCCAAATATGACACAAGGAGAGACATGTGGAGAGATCTTTGGTTTCACAGTCTGTAAGCCACAGTACAGATGGTGTAAAGATATAAGTAATCAGCACAAACTGTGCATAAATGGTGGGAAAAAAAAGCCAGTGCTAGACAGGGAAGTTAGAAAGTAATGTGTGAAAGTATTCTGCTGAAAATGTCCAGTGCTAAATATTTATCTAAGAAGGAGGGACTTTGAGATTAATAAAATATATTATTTTGCTTCACATTAAATGTTTATTTGTTTTTTCTAAGAAAATAAACACTGTAAAAAAAAAAATACAATTCTGGCCCTGCAAGGATATGTATGTTAGATAATGGATGGACTGAAAGAAATGTTGGACACTGATTCTGTTTTCTAATTTCCATCCATCCATCCATCCATCCATCCATCCATCCATCCATCCATCCATCCATCCATCCATCCATCCATCCATCCATCCATCCATCCATCTACCAGCCAGCACTGATCTTCCCTTAATCAGAGATCTACCAAAATTCCCTGACTTCTAATTTCTCACAAAACATGTCTAAGTTTTTTGACAACACCATCAACATTTGTATGGAATTATTCAAATGTGTAACTTTATGTCATTTTTTTTCTCTGTGTGTCTTGTATCTTGTATACCTACTATCTTGTAGACCTAAAAACATGAAAATTACCAAATGTGGCAATGACAACATTTTTGTCTTGTACCTTCTACATACCGGTCAATGGTAATTATTATTTTTTTAAATGACTAAAAGGCTCAAACTGAACTGTGCTCTTCAGTTTTAGGTCTGCTAAGTCATCTGACAGGAACTCACTGTCCCCCTACCTTGTACTTGATAGACACCAGTAAGACCTGAATGTAGCATTTAGATGTTAAAGTCTTACTCAAGAATATTTAATTTAAACAAGCTAGTGATTTAATGCATAGTTAAATGTATCTCAACTTTATTCCTATCTAGTTTGTTCCTGGGTTTTCACAGGGCAAGAAAACCTAGAAACACACCATATAAAGTGGCAAAATGTAAAAAGGTTTAACTGGAAAGGGTTACATGATCCTGAATTTAACAAAAAAAAGACAAAAGGCCTGTTTGATGTGATGTGTAGAAAGTTGCTTGTTATGTTCCTGCAATATAAGCATAGAAACATAAACCTCTCCTGTACTGAATGATAGTCTTCAAAGAATGATCAAACATTTTCTTTGTCTTGCGTTTCTGCCGAGATTTCTTTATGTTAATATCATTTTCTGTTCAGCATTGTCAAGCTAATTTTTGCTTTATTTTGACTGATCTTGACATGTTCTTTACTCACAATGACTCACAGAGAGTCTAACTCTCACTGGCGTAATTCCAATTGCTTGAGTGTCATTGCTGAGTACTGCTTGCTGCAGTCACAATCTGTTCATCTCTACTAATTTGTAAGGTTGAAAATCTCTCATAGTTTTTCACTGGTATAAGCTTACTCTTGGCCACCCTGATTTATTTGTACTAGCAGAGGGATTGATAGTTTGCTCACGAAGGAGCTCTTCTTCACAGATGAAAATCCAGCCATTCATTCTCTGCTATTGATTTTTCGGTGCAATGTCTGCCACAAAAAGCTGTGCTCACAATTAACTAGCTCAAGTAGGAAGTAATTCCAAACTGCTAAACAAGTATCTTTTTTTTCATATTTTATGTATTATATTTCTACTTGCATATCATTTATCAGTAACTTTCTGTTTTCCTTGCACAGTTTTGTGCAAGACCACAGAAATAAATGCTTTGATTCATTAAAATGTGATGAGTGGTATGTTGACAAGTTTAGAATACAGTGAAAAGTGTGCTTAAAGGATTTATTCCCTCAAACCAATTAGTTAATTGTTACAAAAACATGTAGATATTAGTTACTTAGGGTACCAGAGCCATAACTTCATAGAAAATGTAAAGTTAAATGGAAATAAGAAGAAATATGAAGTCTGAAATCAACTGAAAAAAGGAACCACATTGTGGCAGGTTAGGAAACCTTGAGTAATTCTGTCATAAATCCTTCACTGCTTTTCAGATGACGGCAAGTTGTCATTTGAGGAGTTCAATGCTTACTTTGCGGATGGGATCCTGACAACCGAAGAGCTTCAGGAACTTTTTTACTCCATAGACGGACGGCAGAATAAGTGAGTGTTTATGTATTTTTTTTGTTACTTGAAGAAGAATATAACGAGGAGACGTTATCAAATTTTGTTCCTTCATCAAGTCATCAGCTCCAGGTTCAACAAAATACAGTCTGAGGGAAGTTTTTAGTAAAGAAAATGGCCCCTGAAACCAGACTTCAAAAAGTAACAGTTCACATCCTCTGAATATAAATATCATTAAATGCACCAGGAACATCAAAAACTCAATCAGTTTGACCAGCCTGAGGGTTTCTGCAGAAGTTCGTGCTTTGCAGTGGAAATTTAACTCGCCACAGCTGCTGAAGAAAAAAAAAAATCTCCTATTTCTGGGTCTTACAGAAAGTCTTTATTGGCATTATGTTTTATCTTTTTTTATAAGCCTATCTTCTTAATATTTTTAGCCTTTATGAGGAAACTGCATTCTTACACATGCAAATTTTCCAATCTCATTGTTGAATTATGTGCTTAAGCCCAGGTAAAAAGACAAAATTGTAGTCCAATAAACAGCAATCAGACTGATTTGATGAGATTTTGTTACGCTGACTTAGCAAGGACTTTTTCATTATTGAAAATCACTGGGGTATTGAGCCGCAGTAGAAGCTCACCACAGTTTTTCCCTCACACTTTCTCTTTGAAGCAGCTGGCATGAGATGTGCTTCAATAACAGATTAAATGTATTGTGTCCTGGAAAAACATTCCCAGAAAAATGTAATTACTTGGTGATGGTAAAAATCTTTAACAAAATATTTCACAATTTTCGGTAATGAAGCCATATTCAGTGTGATGGTAAACACTCTCTCAACATCAGGCAATAACTGGCTTGATTTTTCACTAAGCAATGAGAATAACCCTTAACACTCCATTAAAGCAAGAGGTTAATGTTCCGAGCTGTACAGAACAGTGCCGTTGTTTTAAATTGTGACACCAAAAGCTGTTTACAGCATCCAGTGTGATGACATCTTCTCTGAGTGGTAAACAAAGAAAGGGATTTTCAGTGTGTCAAATATAAAAAGGAAATATAAAAGAAAGTAATACCACAGCTGAATGCATGAGCATTTCTGAAAAACAGTTTTTCAAGAAAGACAGATTCACAATTTCTAAGGACAAATGCTGTACAATCTTCCATGTCAGTCAAAAAAACTATAGGATTTGCAAACTCATGTTATCTTCTCTTTGTAGTTTTAATGCAATCACCATGCGTTCTATAGGATAGCTCTGCAATATTCCCATTTATAAAAAAAATCAACTAAAAGATCTCAAGGAATTAAGTGCAGCACCTCTTTGCATCTGCCTAATTAACTCTTCTCATTTATCTCCTCTTACATTTTGCCCTGCAGCAATCTGGACACCGACAAGTTATCAGGTTGGCGAAAAAGTGCACTGTCTGTTTTAAATACTTAATTTTAGTCGAACTTCTGTCTCTTTCAAGATTATGACCATATGCATTTTGATGTCTCATAATGTTGTCAGGCAAGCTCTTGAATCTGCAAATTAAGGCAGGTTTTATGTGCCTTTAAAAGACTTGAGCAGCTTTTTCAAAAATGAAAAAGTTTATTTATGTCTACTACTTCAATTAATTACTGTTGAAATCACTAATAATGCCCCATATTGAACTCCTAACCATTGGATAACCATTCACCTACACTAAATCTGAAAGCAATTTTCCTCTTTTATCATCTTTAAATGGATTGTGTGCCCTGAATAAAGCTAAGAATTGGGGCACCCAGATGGGTAAACACCAGTTTTGCCCAGAATAAAACTTATGCATAATTGATTAAATGGGAATGGCTTACTTTCCACTTGACGTCAAGAGAGGCTGACTGTTTTCCACATCAGAGGTCAACTTTTGTCGCAGATCAAATTCTATAAACATTTAGCATTTATTGAGCAAGAAGTCATTTGATGAACTGATTTGGAGAGACAGTGTTAACAGGAGTGAACAAAAATGTTTGAGACCTAGGATCCATTAACCTTGGATCAGTGTTTACTGTGTGTTGAACTATATGCTGAATAAAATTCGACTTTTTTATTAAGACAAGCGCCATTTAATTTCAGATTTAATCAATTGTTTCAGCTTGGTAAAGATTTTTTTTTTTCATTTTATTTCCTTTAAGAAAATTTTTACAAAAAAAAATGTGTAGGAGTTTTATTCATTAAATTTGTATACATCATCCTTCATGTTCCCTATTAGGGATTTCAGTAGTTTAAGCACTTAAAAATTGTCGGCCGTCTAATTCCTACAAAGCCATTTCTTCTTACATCAACATTTCTGTTGGACTGTATTATAAATCTCACTAGTCATGGTTTGACTTCTTTAGAATCTTAGAACATGTAAGAGCATTACTTATTCATTTGTCTTTCACTGCAATAAGTGTTCAAATATTTATTCTTCTTTTCTTTATTAGATTATTTTTCTGAGCACCTCGGAGAATATGTAAATGTTCTCTCAGCTCTGGAGAGCCTGAACATTGCCATTTTAAAAGCAATGGATAAAACTAAAGAGGTAAGATTTCTGCACATTGCATGAAAAACTTTATCTATTTGTTCATGTTAAGAAAAGTTTAATGTGTGATTAACCAGAAAGTTCAGCGCTGTGAAAAAGTTCAGCTACTCCTGTTTTTGCCTTCTTGTTTTTGCTGGTCAAAACAACACAAAGGTCCACTTCACGTTTGGAAAGATAACCCAAAGATACACAGGGCCCTAGACTTTGAGCAGTGGACTGATGAGACAAAATTAATTTCTTTTTGAAAGCTGTGTGTCCAGTTGCATGTGGTGTGAAACTAATTTCAGAAAAATTGCATCATACACAGTAATGGTAATGTTTGAGGTTGCTTTTCTGCTTCTGAACCTGGGAAATTTCCCTGAATTGATGGAACCATGAATTTTGCAGTACATTTGGCAAATCTACTGCAAAAAAAAACAAAGATTTTGGAGTGGCTTAGTCAAAGTTAGAACTTGAAACTGACCAAAATGCTGTGGTTTGACCGACCACTTATCTTATCTTAGAGCAGCTCATTCTTAGAGCAGATGAGCTGCTCTAAGAAAATCCAGTGTGAGGATTTCTTCTCTTCGGTGAAGAGTGGGAATAAAAATCATTCCCCACAGCAGTGAAAAAGAGTCTTTACCATTAATTGTATAAATACTTGATGTCCATTGTTGTCACCAGGCACAGTTACTAGGTTTACAGGTGTCATCACTTTTTCATGGTGCCATATGCCTTGATATGATTCAAATATCATGCTGAATGTGTAACTCCTGGATACACAGGAGATTCTTAGATTTTCAGAGCAATCACGTGAAACTCTTCATCATACATAGACCAAGTCATTCCTTCAGTGCATAAAAGAGAAAAAGAAAACAGATTTCTTATTTTATCATAGCAAGTTTGTACCGCATTAAATGTTCTAGCATTATTATGTAGCCAAGGTTGGTTTCCCGACCTTCGCCTTCTGCCCCCTGCTCATCTGGGAAACATTTTCAGATCCTCTCCACTCCCTCCTCTGCAGCCGAGCCACTTCTGACTTCTCTGCTGTTGAAGCTGCTGTTCGTCTTGCTGCAGATGGACAAAGATGGTGATTAGTTTAACAGCCAGTGGCTGCCACTCAATCTGCTCCCTTTACTTCAAAGGTTCCGCCGTGTTCAGTCCAGAGTATATGCAGATTAGGATTCCACCAGCGACTACATTTTTCCACCACAGATGAGCTACTCTAAGAAAGATGCTTTGTAGCTGAGAGTTAAATAAAATGTTCCCATATGCGAAACTGCCACCAAACCAACAGGTAGTCCATTTAACTTAGCAAAAAACATCATGTTGTTTAACATTTGATTCAAAAATGTAAACCTTTTCTTAATATATAAACATTACTATTAATATTACTATTACTTGTCTAACTTTATGCAGTGTTTTTTTTCCAATCAGTAGCATAAGACTCACATATATTTTTGAAAAGGTAAATGCAGTTTTTAAACATAAGGCATTATGTTAAAAACAAAATGCCTTATGATGCCATATGTAATGAATGCCATTTTTAAGTATATGGACTCTTCAATCAATCATTACATAATATATAACAAGAAGTACAGGACTCAGTGCTTGTCATTGGAGCTTATTACATCACTTTTAAGCCACTGCCATAGGCTCTGTCGACTTTACCTGGATCCAGAATCAAAACATTGATGCAAATTTTAATAATTCCATTTTTTTTTTCTTTTTACTTTGGCTAAAGACTGAAATACTGTAAATATTAGAGAAAATACTATAAGTATGAACCAAAATAAAATCTATTAGAGAATAAGAAAATAAAAATAGGATCTGATTTAATATTGATCTAGGTAGTTTCACCCGATTTCTGTTTGGTTTCTGGAGTTAGAACAATTGAGTTTGGACTGCTTGACTGTGTGAATCTGTGTTAACTGTTTTGCAAAAGGGTGAGGGAAAATGTGCCAAACCAATGAGAAATCATTGTAAGAGGTGTCTTCTGCTCTGTTGAGAAAGTAACAATGAACATTGAGTGCATCCCAGTTCCTTTAAGCAGGTCAAAGCACTCAAGAAAAAATGTATTATAAACCAGGTTGAGGAGACTATGCATAGATATCCAAAACAATTAGAATATTCTGTTTAGATGAGGCCTGTAAAGGCTTTAAACATCTGTTTGTAATTAATCTGCATATTGTTTTCTAACATTTTTATTTGAGTTAACAAAATAAATCAACTTCTCAATAATATTCAGATTTATTCATTGGGTTTGTAGATATGTAACTCTGTTCTTATTAGAACCAAAATGATCTGGTACAGTCAACCCAATAGCTTAAATCTCAGTGTGCAAAACATTTTCCCATTTTATTCTGCAAGAATGACAATTCAATCTCTTAACTGAATTGACTAAAGCTACTTTGAGAGAACAACCTTAAATCGGGGATTTGAATTTCATGCATGTTAAATGAAAAGAAGGGAGGGGATCTGTTCTGAAACATTATGCATCCTGTCTTAATTAGATCACCTGTCTCCACTGTTCTTGCTCCTGCTGAGGTGAGGCAATCCTCAAAGGATTGTTCAGTCCTAGTTAGCAGCTGTGGTCTGTCATTGCTGTGGACTGATAATCCCAAAATGCTTATTCTGCAGAGATTACAAATCAGTCTCGCCGTTTTGGCAAACAGCTCTGCAGCATTGCTTCAAGAGTCCTCTGGGAATATCTAATCACATTCATGTTTGGAGACTCAAGCAGCAATTATAGCTCCTGTTTAAGTTCTTTCTCCCTGGAATCCGAATACATAGTTCAGAATACCTTAGTGTATCCATTAACCCAGCTAACTACAATGTATTTGCTCTAGAGCTTGCATGCATTTTGATGTTTCTCTGCCTGGTTTTTGCGCCCTGACACATGTTGAAATCTGTCTTTCTCTCAGGAGTACCAAGGTGCCAGTGTGTTGGGTCAGTTCGTCACCAGGTTCATGCTAAGAGAGACATCCAGTCAGCTGTTGTCCCTGCAGAGCTCCCTTCAGTGTGCCATGGAGGCTGTGGAGGAGCAGAGCAGCCCCGCTCCGTGAGTTCTGCAATATGGCTCCACTTATGTCTGCCTATGTCTTATTTGTGGCGTCTGTTTTAGCCGTTTGCAACACATTGTCCACATAGTAGCGAAAACAATATTTTTTTATAAGCACCTTGCTGAAAAGCAAAAGTTCTAAAATTGTGAAGTCACTTGTGTGTTGTAACAGAATAATAATCCCATTCTGAGTCAAAGCAGAAATGAACAGTAACAGTACCTTTAACATTATTTTTACATTCCAAGCTGCAAGATTTCTATTCCTTGATTTTTATTTTTTTTGCTAAATCATTTCTCAATCCTACGAAAAAAAAAAAGTTGGTTTCTCCTTTTCTGACTGAAAATTAGGCATTCCACCTTCTGCTTAATGTGTAAAAGAATTGCTTGATGTGGGAGAGCGGACTGAGCGTAGCCCTCTTCTGACCTTGTCAAAAACCCTTACACCTTGTGTGCCCCCTGAACAGAATAAGAACCGGTGGAGAATGATAATGATTATAATCAGAGGGGTAAATGAGGAAATCAGTAAAAAAATTAACTGCACTCCAGCACTACTAATAAGATCTAAAATACAAAAACATTGGCAGTGAAGTCTTTGATTTTCTAAATTAAAAAAAAAAAGATAATTAATTTACTTGTGGCAACAAGATTTTTTCTTTCAAAAAGAACACATTTTCTTATCAAAATGTTTTAAATTTGAGTCGTTTTGATTTCTTTTTAATAATCTATTGAATTTAAAAATGCTTAAACTCCACAATTTCTTTCAGTAATTTTTTTTATACTTTTATAAAATTGTCATCACGAGTCTTAAATATACCAAGAGGATGGCTACAAAGAGGCTAGGGAGCATGGGGCATCAGCGGAGAGGAAAACACAAAGACAGAAATAACAGAAGGAGCTGGGGAAGGCGAATGAAACCAAAAAATAATAATAGCCTCTGCACTGGGGAAAAGGTGAGGAATGAGAGGGAAACCAGAGGAGCTAATCAGAGAGAAGTGGGAACAGCACAGGTAGAGGAGAATGAGGTGATGGACAAAAGCTGTCAGGTCATAGTTTATTATTTAAAAGTTGATCAACAATTTTATCAGCTTAAAAGAATAAAGTATTAACCCTCCAATTACATGTATTTAATAGAACGGTTTTCAGTAATGAACATTTTAGCAAATGAGAAAACATTTAACCCTATCAAAGGCTAGATTTCTTTTTTTTTTAAATATCAAGCTGTGAGATTATACCACAGCAAATAGTCATGAATTTATTTTTTTCGGCTGCCATGCTCTTTTTTTTTTTTTTTTTTTACATTCTGTATATAAACAGTAAGTGTCTGTCTGTTGAACTGTGGTTTTCTTGGCTCAGCAGAACTCTGCTCCCCCCTCTGGGTGCCACACTGGCATTATTGGAAATAGCAAACCGATTATAGCCAAGGTGAATTATTGAGAGGAGACTCCAGGAGGCAGAGAAGGAGCTAAAGCAGAATGGATGACAAAGCATTCGCCACAGATCCACACAGATAAATAACACAACAACGAGTCCAAAAGAGAAAAGGAAAACCACCAAACAAATACCGGTCCACGTCGTTGAGCTGATGGTAGACAGTGTGCGATTTTCAGAAACAGAGGCAAAGAAAAATTAAGACAGGTATAGAAACTTCTTTCCGTATGTTGACTGGCAGATTTCTGGCTTTTCCTGTGGCCTTTGGATTGCAGGTTCTCAGCATGAGGACCTCCTGGCAATATGCTCCCTCTGTGCCGTCAGCAGGATGCTGAATACACACACATGAAATTACCAGCATGCACAAAGTTCCAACAAAGGAAAGCAAAATAGGAGCACTATAACAAAGCCTCACAAATGTGCAGAGGTGTTTTTTTTTTTTTTTCCACCTGCAGAGAAATACACAAATGAAATTAAAGCATTCATATTCATTTGTTATAAGCTGTGAGTGTTTAAAATTGCACATTGTAAGTGCCTTTGACAGATATTTTTCACTGCGTCCAACACACTTTTCCAGCTATACTGAACTGTGTGTCTGTATAAGTGTGATAATTTGAGCGTGGAAGAGCACTTCACAAAGTTTTCTATTCTGTCTACTCACTGTTCATCCCTCACTCTTGAATTACATACTAACCTATCATCCCTCTTGACTTCTCTCCACTATCTTTCTCTCTGCATTGCTCTCACACTTCTTTTCCAAGTCTCCTCATTTAGCCCCCTAATTTCATTCTCTATCAGCTTCTCCTTGCACCCTTGTTGACTACCTCTGTCTGCCATATCTTTAGTTTGTTTCCTCTACGATCCTCTGACAGTTGCTGTCTTTCTCTCTGATGTTTGTCTCCCTGGGTCTCCAATCACTGTCATGGCAGGAGGGAGGTAAAGGCTCCCGAGCTGACAGCGGTACAGAAAAATGGCAGGCGGTGTGGTCGTAGGGTCCATAACAACCTGTGTGTGTCTTCGTCTGATCCCTGCACTGGGACGCCAAACACAGGTAAAGAGAATATATGATTAGACTTCTTATATTTAAACATATGAGGTGAGTCAAATGGATATTTACTCAACTTTTTCAGGGTTTTTTTTTCCCTGCAAAAGTTAAATTCATTTATATGTCTTTATATTGAGTCTCATTTGTTTCTTATTAAATATTAATCCTGATCACACTGCTTATCTTTACTCCTCAATATTTGTGTGGGTTTCAGCCTCAAGTAACTTCTTTTTTTTATTTTATTTTATCTTGTTTAAAATTGGGTTTCATATCACTGGGATGTACTATAACAATAAGACAAGCTGACAGTTAGAGGGTGATTCTTAATGCAGAGTTTTTCTTGAAATCCTTTTTGTTTCTGTCTCTTGTGTATTACTTTGACACATGCCACCCACGCAAACATGGTTGCTGACCAAGCACACAGTTCAAGAATGTAGAAGTCTCTAATGGCAGCTGCCTGTTTTGGCACCATAAAGGGAACTGTCACTCTGACAAACTGGTTTGTAAAAGGTTTTAGTCGCACAGCAACAAAATAAAGGTTTTAATTTTGCCTCCCAATCTATGTTGAACTGACTGTCATATTCACCCAGCTATTTGCAAGTGCTAAATATTTGCTAAGCTGAAATTGCTTGTCCTTTTAATTCTAAAATTAGACAATAGTGTCACAAAGCAAACAGCCCTTCAGAGCACTGATGCAGCTTGTCAACATTTGAGGGAAGCATTATTCATGCATTTAGAGGACAGCTGGGCCATATTTATGCATGAATATCCCTGCACTTGTCAGTTTTAGCCAGAGCAAAAAAAAAAAAAAAAAAAAAAAAACCCTCATGTATGCTGGTGAATTTTCACATAATATAATTCATTTTAATCACATGAACTGTAATATAAAAGAATCCTCCTCTCTGAAGACTCGGAATAAATTGGTCTTTAATGGCTGCAGTTTCTTTAAACCTTCTCTCTGGTTGTCCGATAAGAGGAATACAGAGTTTTACTGATGCAATGGTGGAATCCGTAATCTGTCTGATTATGGCTGATTTGTTGGCAAGACAGAAACCTGCTTGTTAGAGAATTACTCAGTTTGCTTGTGGATTCTAGATACTTGTTTAATTGGTCCATCGATTGTCTACAGGTGTCAACATAGAAGATGAAGAAAACTGGTGCTCTCAGGTCAACCGACTGCAGCAACTTTTGGATAAACTGGAGTGTCAGGTATGGTGCATATATGTTTTTGTTGTGTCCTTCTTTAATACTCACTTTATTATTTATCTTTTTGACTCCATGACTTAACATCTCATCCATGAACTTGTATGTCGATAATTCTTTGTTGTGTCTTTAAGACTTTCATTTCTCTTCATCAAACCATTGCAATCCAATTACAATGGATTGCAACAACATCCCAGCTATGTAGATTTATGCATGCAAATCGACATCGTACACTGGCTGGTTCTGTTAGCAGTCAGCTTAAAGGTAACAATTATATTAAACACTCAGGGCTAATGAGAAGGCAAAGGCAGTTAAAATTTGTTTCCCTGCACTTCACTGGCAAAGGTCAATGACAGTTTATCCATAATTGCTGAGGGCAGAAAGCTTTCATGTTGCATCAGTGAGAAAAAAAATCCCACACTTCCTCTACTCTTCAAATTGTACCTGCAGAAATGTTCTGTCCATATTTGCTTTCTGAGTATACCTTGGCGATCCCCTGCTGTTAAGATTGGATACATTTTCTTCATATATATATATATATATATATATTTTTTTTTTTTAATTAATAGAAAAAAAAACAAATTACATATTATTTTACCAGCAGGGAATCATCTTTAATTTCAATAGTGACACTGAAAACAAGTCTTAAGTTTATTCTGAGTGTCTTCACACAGCAGTGTCTGAAGAATTGGGCTTCATGTTTTATTTCTCTCTGGGTTCAGAATACACTTAGGGGGGAAACGAAGTGGGTGCTGTTTCAAATGGAACGCTGCAGATCTGTGGTTCTGTCAAACACCAAGCGCAGTCACCTCTCCGGCTCTCATGCCGTGACCAATTCTCACCACACATCCCCGAGCCCCTTTCACGCTCTCCTGCTCTTTCTTCTTCCCTCTCTGTCTGCTCTTCCCTTTATTAACTTCGGTTACTCCCACCTTTTGAGGCTCATTCTTTTTCCTCTTTTCAGTCGCTCTGAAAGCATTTTTTTTTTGCTCTCTCCGTCCATCTGTTTTGTCAAACCAGAGGGACTCAGAGTGCAATATCAAAGCAATTCATAACCTGCAGGATATTCAGAGTGCAATATCCATCCCTGCACCTCAACGCCGACACCATCAGCACGTACTGCCTGTCTATCTCTGTTTGCTGCTCTCTCAATTACAACACAATGAGTTTATGATCTGAAAGAGAAAAGGCTGGCTCTATGTTTTCACTTTGATTTGGTTTTATGATAAGCAATTTCTATATAGAAAAGAGTATTAAAAAACTGGCTGCAAAACAGGAAAAAAAATCCATGCTTTCAACATGTTTTTCATTACAGAAGTCCAATCTCATTTCCAAACAGTGTGTGTGTGACTGACTCATCACATTTTAATTCTGCTGTTTTGAACATTTTGGATAGTCGATTTTAAGGACTGAAGGTTGCCATCGTTATTTTTCTATGATAAACCATATTTTACGTTCAGAGGCTTTAGAAAAAACTGGAATAAACTGCACAGAGAAAACCACCGTAAAAATGTAAAAATGAACACATACTGTACAAATACAGAAATATTGTCATGAAATTTATATTTATAAGTTCATAATTTTAGAATGTGTGGAATTTCTATAATTAACTATTGTTTAAGCATGGACACACTGTATAGCATTTGGAATATAAATAATTCAAAGTGGAAAGTGATGAACATTAAATTAAGCTCCATGCACATTTTCTATTTTTAAGTAGACATGGAATCACATGCAATAATGCATCTCCAGTCCTCTGATATTTTGCTCAGCCAACAGGTCTTCTCCATATTTCTTACTTTCCTGTTTTAGGGTCCCAAGTTGGAGCCGCTTAAGGAGGATTCGCTCGCCAGCACGTACAAGTCTGTAAGTGAGCACCGTCATCTGGAACACAAACATTTCAAAATCAAGTTTCATTTGTTTGTTGTTTGGTGTTGTTTTATTTATTTACTTTTTTTGAAATTGTGCAACACATCACTGTAGTAGTCATAAAATCATAAAATACTTGTTTGAGTTACAAGTGATTTTTTTTTTTTTTTTAGACAAACTGAAGCAGTTAAACCCAAATATGAACTTGATGTAGCCTACTTCAACATTTCTGTTACTTTTTTTTTTATTTTTTTATTTCTGTGCTCATAATTTTAGGCCTAAAACTAACCACTAATAATGTTTTACTAGGACTTTAGGAGGAAAAACTGAAACTAGTTACTTTCCACCCTTAAGAATATGACTGTAAAATTATTTCTGATGTGCTCACGTGCTCCTCTAAGCAAATAGACATGAAATGATAAACGCACAGAAGCGCTACAGCTGTGAATACATTGTGTTTGGCCGTTCTGTAGATTGTTTTTTAAAAGTTCACATAAAAATTCCTTCAGGAAGAATTCCCAGTGATGAACTGACACAATATTTCCTCCTGTGAACTGGTACAATTTCATTCAGGAAATAAATAAATAGAAGCCATGTAGATTAAACTTTCATCAAAGTATGTATTCAAATATGATTTTTATAATCTGGATTTTATTTCAATGTGACAAATATAAACATAGATACACTGTTGCAAAGAGGGTTTGACATAAGAGGTAGGTTTTTGTTGAGATTTAGACGTGGTGGCTGGATCAAACTTTGAAATCTCCTTTTCAAAAGCTGATATTTCAGGGACTTTCTCACGCGGAGCATCCCCTCGCTCTCATATATGTTTCCTTACCCTTCTTGACATGATTGGAAATTTAAGGTCTTACAATCCTCCTTTGTATTTTTTGTCTCTGTACTCACATTTGTCTGAGCTTTTGAGATGGCAACGATATTCACAACAAAACATGAGAAGCGTTCTAATGAGCCAGCACTGAAATTTTCTCTCAGTGATCAAAGTCCAGTCGCAGCTCAATACTCCTTTTCAAAGTTCTCAGAGTTCTCACACGTTCAATCAATCTGTCTTGCCACATCACTCTCAGAATGGATTACTAATGCATTGTCAAAAGCTCTGAAATCCTGTGAAATTATTACAAGACACATTGTGGGAGATCAGCTTAAACTTTTCCTGCTTGAACTTCATTGACCTTTTCACCAGAAAGGTGGATGCCGTTTTCAGTTTTGTCCTTTAAAAAAAAAAAAAAAAAAAAAGTTCAGATACTAGTGGACATGAATGCAAATTAACTCTAAATCTTATTTAAACATTTCTTGGTATGTTTCTCATTTAGTGACATTTAAAGCATGTGATTTATCATTTGCTACTAAACCCTCTGATAGTATGTTCCCTACCAGGTTGCTGTATTTGCTCATTTTGTAATGTGAAATATGTTTAGTTGTTTGTTCTTAAAAGTTTAGTTACTACCACAAAACCTTTATTAGCATTATAACTGTGTGTTGCAATAAATCACCAATAATAGAACATTTTACAACACCTATCTTAACATAAAGAGTTTTATTTAGGAATTAGGAAGGGTTTCCATCTGCCCACATGCATAGAGTTTTTGTTTTACTTTGGTCACTTCAGGAGCACCTATTCCTTAAAGTATTACCTTGTCCCTGAATCTCACCATTGCCTATAAATGTCTTTTATAGAGCCTTGTCCATTTTCAATGAATCATTTCAAAACATCATCTGGACATGTTCCACAAGGTGAAGTCTCACTAAATCATCAGTACCCACAAATGTGCCGTGTGAAAATCGGATCCACGCTCGCAAGGATCCATTCTCCAAATTACACACAGAGTTCTGTTTTCATCACATTCTCCCTTCTGTCTCTTGTCTCACTGCCAACAGAACATCCTGCTGGTTCAGAGGCAGATGTCCGTCGTAGACGATGAACTAGATAACTTCCGGAAAGTTCTCAACAGCTACATCGATGCCACTTCAGCTCACTCTGACAACTTGCAGTGAGTGTCTTGCTTGCTTCTAAATCAATCGTTTTAAACGCAGCTTCCGATTTTGCTACAGAAGCAGCTTTAAAATTCCTGAATAATGCTGAATAAGCAGTTGACGTTGCCAGAGGTACCACAGACGGATGTATATAAAAAGAGATTTATTCTTCTAGTAACAGATTAATTTTCTTAGGATGAGATACAGTATCTGTTGAGAGGGCACATATATGCCATTTTGATATGTCAAAAATGAGGTGATGATAAGCATTTTTCCTAATACATTGTTATCTTTATCTCATTCAATTCAACTGAAAAATGAACATGCATTTTTCAGAAGCAAAGAAATAAAATAATCACGATGCATAAGTGTGTACACCTGCAAGTTATAGGGATTTTTGTTTTGTATAAAAATTTTGCTTTTCATTTGATTTACACAGGATATATATCAAATTATATGTGAGAAAAGCACAAAAAAATATTATAGTGTATTTTTTATATTACAAAAAGTGGCATGTAAACATATATTAGTTTACAAATGATTCTGTATTAGTTTACAATGATTCTGCAACTGTTTTTTTTTTTACAAAAACAGTTGCAAGACATTCAGTTGATGTCTTGCCTTTTACATTACCAGCAGCAAGCTAATCTCTCTTCCAAGATGAAAAACTTTTTTTTCCTTGCAACTTCCTTTTTTTTTTTTGTTATTTTCTGCTTTTTGACCCACTCTACTTTTTTCCTCCAGTGTGTCTGTTCAGAAGCTTCCGGGAAAGTCGTGTTACATAATGTATGAGTTCTGGCAAGACCGCATCTCCTGGATGAGGTTAGTGCAGTGTACATACGCGTGTGTGTTTGCGTGTGTGTGTGTGTGTGTGTGTGCATGTGTGTGTGTGAGTGACAGAGCGAGAGTGTGTTTGTATTTTTGCAATAGATATTGGCTCGCAATTTGGCACCGCTAATTTCTTGATGGAAATGTTCCTTCTCCAGAGAGGATGAGCAGATGGCCAATCACTCTGTTCTCACACAAACTCAAACACACAGACAGTCACAAAGGTGATCCTTAAACGGTGCTAAATGGTGTCAATAGATATATAACAGATAGCATTGATGTGTTGAGCTTTGATGCATATTTAATGAAGTTATTTGCAAACAGGTTTTCACCAGTGCTTTTTCTTTTTGATGCCATTGTAGCTATCTTCAGACCAACAGCAGCAAAGATTTCCAACGCTGTATCATTGACATGATGGAGGATGCTGAGATGGTTTCTACCATGTTGCTGCCAGGTCTGTGACATTTCCTGAAAGTGATTGTATGTAAAAGACAGTAAATATTATCTTGCTGAGGAAATGCAGTCTCCTGATTTGCTGGAGGGAGGAGGGGGGTTAAAGTAAAATGTCCCTGTTTTGTTTTTGTCAAAATTGTCCAAACAGTATCTCTGCACTGTTTGGACCTATGTTGTTTATGTTATTTAAAATATCTTTGAAAACTTTTTTTTTTCGCTTTTAATTGGATTGATTTGTTTGGACATGACTATATACATAAAATCTGTGTCCAATGGGCCTCGTTTCTCAACTGATGTTCATATGAGTGTTGCAGATCAGCCTATTCCAGCATACAAACAATATGTTTTGGATAAATCTATTGGTTGAAAGAAAAACATTTACATACCATCCTGGCAGTGGTACATACCACTCTATTCATTCATACTTTGGTGACCTGCTCCACAAAATCTGCGTCTTGTATAACTGAAAATAGGTAAAAAAGATTTTAAAGAAGCAGCATTGCAACAGAACAGACAAATACGGAACCTGAATTGTAATTGTCATACAAACTCATTTAAAAGTCTTTGCAAATGCTGTTATTTTAGAAGCAAACTCCAGAAATAAATATTCATTATTCACCTAGTAGAACGACTGGATAAAGTCATACTTCTTTCTAACAGCCTGAGCTCATTAGGGTTGGGAACACTAAGTGTAAAAACAATTGGCCCCTGCAAAACGGTGAAGGTGTGTACTTTAGTATGGACAAACATGATACAGCTTGATTTTCTCTGCTGCTCCATGAGACCTCACTGACACAATCCTATGTAAACAGTCTACAGCCTGGCATGACAATTGGACTTATTCTGGACTCACAATCCAATTGATACAGTCTGACATGAGCATGAAAATGTTTGAGCACCCCTTGTTCCACTGCACACCAGAGAGGGCATACACGGAAACATAAAATGAAATTTTACAATAGATTATCCAGGCTTGAGGACGTCCCGAGTCGTTAAAAACACTCAACCACAAATTCTGTAGAGACTTTAGAATCGCCTTGGGAACATTTCACACCCACTTTAATATATAATGAGTTATGATGATCTCTTTTGACAGTTTACTGCCAACAAATGTGATTCATTTGATTCTGTCTTCCCGCTAAAAATATATCACAGTTATAAGAGGTCACATTTAATAAGGGTTGACCCACCCAGTGGGAGATCCATAGAAATATGATCTAGTGTGAAGTCGTCAGAAAATAAGGAGCGCTAGCATTTTAATGGTGCATTTAAAGACCTTGGAAACAGTTTTACTGTTCTGTAAAATTAAGAAAACAAATGCTGAAAGATAATTAGATTCAGATAAGAAATGGATTCAACAAAGTCACACTGAAGGCATTATGTGCTTGGATGAACACACAGGAGATTTTTTTATATTAATGTCACAATAGTATGAAGCCCCAAACAGATGAAATATCAGACATTTACCTTTCCCCTTTTAATGATACTCTCCAATGTAAACATGATCTGTTTACACTGCTTTGGGTGACTTCAAGACATATAAAACAGCCCTGAAACCTCTGATGATGACAGTTTTTCTTCTCAGACACGGTGACATTTCTATGTGCTTATTGGTATGACTCATATGTCCAGTGCTGCCATGTAAAGGTTCTTTTAAAGTGATTGCACATTAGACTCCAGCTCTAGTTTTCAGGGAGAGGAAGCTAGCCGCTCTGTCTTCATTATCAGATAATTTGCTCATTACTTCTAAGATCAGTCACATTTCTGTTGCTTTCAGAGTTGCTTCCCACCATGCAAGCAGGGTTGTTTTTCCTCCTGTGTGTCCAACACTAACTCTATTGAAGTGAATCCTTAAAAAAATAAATGAATATAAAAAACAAAAAACAAAAAAAAAACAAGATGCCTGAATAACAACATTAATATAGCTGTAAATATTCTCTCTAATTAGTGAACTCTGACTCTGTTTATGCACGGAGCTAAGTGAAGTATGTTGTAAAAGTGTTGAAGAAAACTTTAAACAAACACATCCATTTAAAAAAACAGCTGATGTCAACCCTTCTACGTTTCCTGAAGAAGAAAAATAAGTTGGCACCAGTATCTATAACCCTTTAAATTTTTACATTTTGTGGAAATGTTTAAAGTAGGATTAGTTTTGCATCTGGAGGAGTTGCAGAGATGCACACCTCAGGTGGGGGAATGGATAGAGATCAGAAACTGTTATTCATGTCCTCCACACATCTGACTGAAGAAAATGTAGCAGGAAGAAAACCATAAGAAGCTCAGGGCAACATTGTGCTCTTTTCTTTATTAGCACATTTTTCAGACTATGTGCCAAAAATATTGAAAACAATGGAGTCTTTTCCTTCTGCTTCAAACTTGAGAGTCACCACTTAAATTTTAATATGAGTACTTTCACAAGCAGTTTAATAAAAGACAGACTATCTTTGGCTGTCATACTTTCATATGGGGTTACCTCACTGTGAGTTAATTAACAAAAAAGTGCCTTGATAAGATGCCAATGAAGTATTAAGGTAAAGTAATGAAATACGTTCAAAAATCAGTGGTATTCAAATACCAAACAGCAACATAGGTAATTGTAATAATAAATAAATATGAGACATATTTAAAAAAACAAACATATTTTTCAGTTTTATATAACTTCTGACTGTGCCAAGTAGAGACTTTTCCTTCTTGATTTGGTATGATGAGATCATAACAATAAGGCCATTCATTTTTAAATGGTGGGGTGGTTTTTTTTATTTTTGTTTTTGTTCTAAATGTTTCATTGTAATCTTGCAAACGTCTCATTTCTTATTAATTTAACTTGATGAAAACCCTTCTGTCCTAACAAAGCTTATAATTTACTGCATTCTGGAACAACAACAAGCTCAAACATCTCTCCACATTCCTACATATATACTTTTTTAATTAATTATATTTTGGCAAACTGACTTCCACATGACGCACACACATTCTGCCCTCTGCTCATTATCGCATCATTGACTTCACAGAAACCATCAGAGTAGCATGAATCACAGCGAGCCCAGGCCACAGCCGTGACTCTCCCGTCTTGACATTTGATTAACTTGTTGTTGGCGAAACTGAACTCCATGTACCTATACCGAGAACCTGTCTTAGTTAACGTGTCTGCCTCTTTGCAATATTCGTTGGCCGATGATGATTTAGCTGCGTGGGTGGTGTAAGTTTTGCTAGTTGCTAGGTTACTTTACGTGGTTGTTTACTTCCACATCTGTCATTTCCCCATGTGTGGATGCTGACTGCTTCAAACATAAACTCAATAGTCTTGCACCTTCCAGGGAACAGTAGGAACAACATCAATTTTTATATGAAATTATAAACAATGTAAAACCATTTTTTTCCCCAAGTGGCTATTAAACAAACATCAGGTCAATCAAAATGTGAGATACTCATTACAGCTGCATTCTTTCGATGAATTTGTCGTTACGCTACATCAGAAAGATATTTGGTTGCCAAGGATTCTTGTGCTCACTGTGAGGAAGAGGGAGGCTGGTTTATTTATCCACGTCACAAAAGCAGGACCAGATCAACTCTGGAGTCAGTAATAGAAAAATAAATAAAACACACCTTTGTGATGCTCTTGGGAGGAGCTGCAAGATATTCCTTCCTTAGTTGAAAGGTCTAAACTCTGCCTTCATGAGAGAGGAGCTGCATACCAACCAGCCTTTGTGATTTGTTGTTGTTGTTGATTACCAATTCTAATTTTAAATCTTCAATTATAGATCATATATTTGATTTTCTTTTTTTCCCCAGTTGCACAATTCACCTAATGACAAACTAATTTATTTGAGGAAGAGATTAAAAGGCCCAATAAACTAGTTGCAAATCTCACATGTTGAACATGTCCTTTACTTCAAAAAATACTTTACACTGACTTTTTAAACGCATTTCAATCTTTTATTGTTGCCAGATGACTGGGTGTGTTTGGAAACAAATTTTCTCTCTAAAGTGCTATTTTTTTATTGTGTAAGTTCTGGGAATTGAAAGTCTCCTTTTACAGCTTCTAAACAGTAATATTTACTTTTTAACACACCGGTCTTATGTAGAAATCCAAATTAGGTCCAGTGGGTTTTGCCGGGTACCACCACTCTGTACCATCATTAATATGCATTAAAATTAGGAGAATGATTGAGGAAAGCTCTTGGGAACTAACTAACAAAAATTATTCTGTGACTGTACACTCAAATGGTGACCTATGAACACATATTAACTCATTGTATCTATCTGAAGTTCACTCGAAAGTGAGAAGTGTGAAGTATACATTTTCAGAACTGACAACATATTTTTTTATGTGTAGATACACTTTAATGTGTAAATCACTTGTCACTTTTATCATTTAACTGCCAGAGATTTAAGTAAAAACCTAAGCTGGGAAATTGTTGCTGTTCCTTAATGAAATGTAAACTAGATGATTGATTAACCAATTAGCTTAATGGATTGTACCCGGTGATGTAAACACAAGTTGTACAAAATAGTTTTGTTCCATGCATGGATCTAACTTTCTGTTTCCTCATGTATGTTTCTTCAGCTTCCTGGTGGATTATGACTAACAACTGAATCTGGAATGTCACATCGACTACCTACATGGTCTCACTGAGAAAGACGCACTGGCACATCAATCCCACCTACCCACATGCACTCTAACACACACGCACAGAGCAAAAGCATTTTTATATTTTAAAGCACAAGAAAAAAAAAACAAACAAAAAAAAACACCCTATCTGCACATTTTCGGCTGCTTTCTCTAATGCTCCAGTCTTCAGCCGTTCATTATTTTTGCCACTTACATCCAAAGGCATATCTGCATTCAGTGGCCTGCAAAGTCAAACGTAACTGGCTCTCTGCAATTGAAAAGCCATTTAATGATTTCATAACCCTTCTCCTTTGCCATATGGCCACCTTTCTCCTGCAGTGTTTGCCTGATATATTATTCCAATCAAGAACAAGCTACAACACAGGGAGAGATGGAACACTATTTAGTTTGAAAACCCGTCTTGCAATGTTATATGTATATGAAGATCTTTTTAAACACTGGACACAGATTTAATGAAAAACCAGAGAGTATGTGGGGATAAAGGACAGTTGTATCTTTAACATGCATGCCGATGTGGCTTCCTCCCACTGTACATGATGTAAGATATTGTTGCTCGGTTTGTTGCTTTCATTTATCTAACCTGCTGTTATGTGCACAGAATGCCAAACAAGCTGTTGATATAGCTGCTATACTCTATCTACTCCTAACTATACAAGTGTTCACGTACTCTATTAGTTAACCTCCAGCTGTCCATATGAGTCATATTCTATATCTTAAAATGCAAAAAATATGTATTTAAAAAATGTGCATATAAAAGAGATGAAATGCATTGTATTGTTGAGTTAAATAAAGCGATAAATATATCATGCATTTATTTTGATCATGCTGGCCCTTACTGTATCTGTATATACAGACTTCTTGAACTGTACTGTATGAGTCCCCTTTTATTTGATTTAGAAATCTACAGAGTGAAATGCAACTCTAATAAAAGTATTATAAAATTTCTAAATGTTTTCTGAAAAGAATTAAAAAGGTTTTCACCCAATTTTTGTCTTTGACGTTGCACTTTTTAGCAGTATTTTCTAGAATTCCTTATTATTTTAACCTGATTTTTGTACTTCAGATCATAATTATTGTAATCTCTATTAAAATATATATGTGAAAAAAAAAATACAATTCAGATCTAGTTCAATGTGGTAAAATGCAATCCAAACAGAAGACAGCAATATTTTCAAATCACTGACAATTTAAAAATAAAATTGATTTACCAAAGCAAAATGATGGAATAGTCCACTAAATAAGCTATAACCTCTCTGCAAAAATGTTACATTGTGTTGCAGCTTTGCTTTGCATCACAACAGAAAGGGATGGTATGCAAAAAAATAAAGCTCCAAAGAACTCAACCTGTCTCCCTTTGCTTCAACACAAAGCTAACTCAAGAGAGTTAAGAACTATGAAAATTATTTGAGTTTGTTTTCATTGCATATTGCTGGAGACTAACAATATGTGAAGACAGTGATTACAATTCTGAGTGAAAAGAAATCAAACATATTTTTGCACTGATAAAGGTTCCCACTTGGGATACCTGAAAATGAAACTGATTCTGTAACCGACTTTCTTAAAATAAATAAATAAATAATCTAATAATAATCTCTTGGGATTACATATTGAGGATTAAAACATAATTCCCAGAGATAAGTGGGAATTATGTTAATACTTAAATAAGGAAGATCAAGATGCAACAATATCATGACATCAAGGCAAATGTAAGTGAAGCGGTTGAACACTACATTACACACACTTAGTCCTAATTCACATGCACTATTCCTACAGGGACCAAATCAAAAGCAACACACAAGATGAGATGAGGCGTGATGTTCGCCAGATTACTAACCCTAACTTCCTCACAATTAAATCTATATAGCCTGAATTTTTCAGTGTGCAATAAAAGCAGCTTCAATGAGCGAAATGGCTCTTTGTATCAAACTATTTTTAACAGTTTTAATCTATTAATTGTGTGGTGCCATATACTCATTAACGTGTATAAATTAAAATAAAGTAGTGTGACATCCTTTGACAAATCAAGTTTTTTGACCAACCCATAACTGTAACACATCGCTGCTACCACAGCAGGCAGCGATGCAGCATGCTTGTTTACAAACTGCCATGAAATGCCTGAAAAATACTTGCTCTGCCAGGTTCCAGGGAAATATGGCTTAGCATTAGTCTGAGATGGTAAAATTCCTAGCAAAAGGGAGAAGTGTGGAAAACCAAATATGTCTCAATGAATCTGTGGGCGAGCTACCCACTGTCTCAAATCAAGAATATCATATCTCTGAATTGCTGCTGAGATATCAGTCGCTCCAGCATTGGGCCATACTTCACATCTTTCTCACAGCATTACACCAAAGCTCAGCATATTCCTGCTGCAAATTGGAAAACAAGTGATCTTTGCTCATTTTATGGTGCTAATTAGTACTTGCACTACAAGCTGATGACATTGTTTTTTAAACAATATATTTGATCTGTTTCAACATTAACGAAACGTGTTAATAGACGTTTTAGAGAATGACGTTTTGTAAGTGCAAAACAACATGTTACAATCTTCAATGAATTTCATTTGTGATTTCGATACTTCACATTGAAGATTGCTCAGCGATCTGCAAGCTCTTTCTAAGTCAATCAGCTGACACTGAAAACAAATCTCCAACACAAAGGCTTGGTTACATACTGATTATCCAGATTTGTTGATGTTGTTGGAGCTTTGCCGACAAATGTGGAGAGGATAAGTACTCATCATGCTGAGCAAAATGAGAGAACTGTTTTACTCTGTCAGCTTTGTCACATGATCTTTAGTGAAGATGTCAGTGGCTCTGTGTGATAACTTTTTTTGCATATGGCAAATTCATCATTCATCACAAGTGCAATCTATCTTTGTATATTTGTGTTAATGTACAACTATGATGCACTCTACTTAGAGTAACCAATTAAAAATCTCTGCTACGAGCTAAAGTTATCCAAGTAAGAAAAAAGCATATGCTATTTTTTTTAACTATAATGCTGCTTTTGTGTCTGCCTAATTGAGACAATGTAGTAACCTGGGGAATATATGAATGTGAAATATGAATAAGAATGAAATGAAAGAAAAGTGATTGTAAAAGGGAAACAAATCTTTTTAGTCTTTGAATTGCTGCCTTGCCTGTTTTAAATGTTCATCTTACTTAAGACCAGCTTCAGCATCCAGGAAGCCTCTAGAGAAAAAAATTGGAAACATGGTCACCAATATTATTAGAGTACACAAGAAACAATCAAAATTTGCTATAAATTTAGTTCAAGGTTCTCCAAGAAAATGAAAAAAAAAAAACTAACCTCATACCCTGTGAAATTTCTGGCTTTTCACCTCTGTCAATGTTTGCTGACGCCACACAGCTCCCTTTTGGCCCTTGCTATTTTTGAACTCAAAAATAGTAAGGGAAATGTAGACCTGAAGAGGAAAAACAACACACAAAACAGGGGTCACGTCACCGAAAAATATCATCTACACACCCCAGCAAAGAAAGCTCTCAAGACCTTTGCGTATAAATGCAGGTTTAATCAGACTCCAATGACACAAAAACAGATGAGTAATGCTTCACTCTTAGGTCAATTTGTGAAGAAAACTTCCTGCACTTTGTATTTACAGGGAAAACAGCAGCAGAAGATAACAACAGGTATAGCTCTGTAGGTACATTGTGATATAATGTACCACAGTAAAGAGCTATGAAAAGTTTTTTTCTCTCTTTTTTTGCCTCCTTACATACTTCCTGCTCCAAGATTATCACCCTATAGAGAAGTATCTTTTTAACTTTTTTTCAGGTGCCTTTTAGTTTTAATCATATTGATTAAGATACGACTGTAAATTAACTTCAGACTGTGCTACATTTAAACAAGTATGGCTGTTTAACATCATTTGAGAACACCCTAACCCACTGATAAACAGAGATGGACATTTCTGATAGGCAATTCTAAACAAATGGCATTGCACTGACATGTGGGCAGTGAGAATTGTGATGTTTGCATTGTTACCTCAACTATGGTGACACAAAGATTTCATTTGAACTGTATGCCGTACACTGCTTTGTGCCTCGGCTGTGAGAGCAGAACAAGCTCTGAATTTCAATGAAGGTCCTCATTCATCCACGCAGTGAGTTTGTTATGATGAAAATGCATAATACTAAAGCTGCTCATTTTATTTATTTATTTATTTATTTATTTATTTTTTGCTCAAATTTGCAATTACTCACAAACAGTGTGCACAGGAAATGGACAAAGGCAAATAATTGCACTGATTGTTATGGCAAGACTACTTGATGGCATAATTAATACAGGCTACTAAAATCCACTCGTCTCCTGTCTCAGACTGGCTTTTGGCTCAGCAGAATGCATACAAGGAAAAAATTAGACTCTGTAATTGTGTCCACAGTTTTTAGGAAGCTAAATCAATTCCAAGAAACACAGGACTGTGAATGAGGAGTATGTCTTTTTTAATTAAGAATATCAAAGGAAAGAAATAATTATTTTCAAGGATCATAAAATATTTAATATCAAGTTCTGCATTTCAGAGACATTGTGTTCTACAAAGGGATTTGTCCCTTTGCATATTTCTTTTGGTTTTGCTTGAATGTTTCAGATCGTCAAACAAATGCTAATACCTTAAAAAGATGAGTAGGGTAAAATGCAACATTATGATTTCATTTATAAGGGAAATATAAGCTATCCAAACCAAACTTGCTCTATTTGAAAATGTAATTGATTCACTCATTAGGTACTAACTGGGATTAGCTACATTCTTTGAAAAGCTTAGTTTAATTTATCTTGCCATATCCAGGAATAATTACTGCCTGACACAAAGAGTGAAAAATAGTTTAACCATGATCTGTGTGATAGAATGAAGTAGGATAAAAATGATATTAAAAAGCAGCCAATGTTCCTACATAAAAGGAATTAAATTATCAGTCTGAAAAGGGGTTGCAAGGCCATTTCTAAAGCTCCAGCTAACCACAGAGAGAGCCATTACCGAAACATAGAGAAAACACAGAACAATGGAGAATCTTTCAGAGAATGGCCTGCCAAAATTACTGTAACAACACACGAACAACTCATCTAGTATGTCACACACAAAATAAAACAGAGAACAACTTCTGAAGCACATGAGGCCTGTCTTTCCACTAGTTAAGGTGATGATTTAACATTTAGAAATCACCAGGTCTAAAATAGCATCCATAGCACAGCTACAGAGGAAGTATTTACAATCCCCAAGACTATTGGGAACATATTCTGCAGAATGAAGGCACAAAGATGAATCTTATTGAAGGTGTCCACCCTGTTGTATTTATTAAACAAATAACATGGTATTTCAGACAAAAAAATAAATAAATCTGACAGACAAAACTTTACTAGAAAGCCCCAAACTTGATTGTCCAGCCAACAATCCCATCCTGATCTTAAATTGAAACAAACCTGAGTTATGCAATTACAAATGACATTTTTCAAGTGGTCTCATCAATCTTGACACAAATTGTTATTTTTAAACAAGCCATTCTATTTCAAAAGCTGTCCAACGTGGCTGAACATTAAAATAAGACACAACACTGAAATCTCAACACTTAAATAACATCAGTGTTTTGTTTTCTGTGTATAAACTTCCTACTCAAATTCCAAATGCATGTTTTCCAGTTGCATTATTAGAACACCTTTCCAGTAACACAAAGTTGATTTTCAGTTACTGCACTACAATGCTGCTGCAAAAATCTAACAACCACTGCCACCCCCTCCACAAAACACTGGTTTAGCTCATATGCATATTTAAAACTTGATTTAACATTATGGAAAACGGCATTGTGTTTTTCTCATGATGGTAAGATTACAACTCAAAATTCAAACGGCTGACGTTTTCCAATATCCAGACTGTAGATGCACTGTTTCACCTGATTTATTCTCTGTCCTGCAGATATGGCAGGGATTGACTCCTTCTTTCCTCCATTTTTACAGACAGTGCAGCGGCTT